GGGGAGGGCAGCAAGCACCGGCGCAGGGAGGGGAGCTGCCAACGGGGCTGCCCCTTCCTCCCAGGGCTGCTCTGGCCTCCCTCCCCGGTACCCCAACCCCGGCCCCCCAACACCAGGGCAGGAGATCCCACGGCGAGGGGTGGCACTCACCGTGTGCATGTGCTCTGAGAAGTAGTGCACAGCCAGCACACAGCCCAGCACCGTGCTCAGCGAGACGGCCCAAGCCAGGAGAAGCACAACGGTGTGCCCCAGGTGCTGGCAGAGGCTCAGGGAGCGAGAGCGGGACCGCTGCTCCGCAAGCAGCTCCTGGAAGAGAGCAGTGCCGGTGCTGCTGAACATGTTCTGGGTCCAGAGCGAGGATTTGTCCTGCTGCACTGAGGTGGGACTCAGAGAGCTGATGGACAAAGTGCTGGTGCAGGGTTGGGGTCAGGGCTTATTTACAGATGCGGGGCTCCCCTGTGCAGTGGGTAGGAGAGGGGTGCTGAGCCCCGGGTCTGGACTGGCTCCTGTGAACGCCTTCGCCTGCCCACTGCAGGGCACAGGGCGTGCAGGGGCTGACTCCAGCCCAGCTCCTCACCTTCAGCTGGGTGCGGATGTTCTCACACTGCAGCTTCACTGAGCGCCTCTGGATCACCTTGAAGTCCCAGGCACAGAAGACTTTGACGGCCAGGTCCCCCGCAGAGCTGCCCACGCGGTAGCTCTCCCCGAAGGAGTGGGACATGCTGCAGCAAAGGGGAGGGCGTCAGGGCATCAGGGCTGGGCGGCGAGGGGAAGGCTGGCAGTGCCGGAGGCGCTGCTGCCCCACCTGTACACCAGCAGGACGCAGGTGACGAGGAAGGAGACCCCAACGCTGAACACGTAGGCCAGCGGCATGTTGTATGGGAGCAGGGGGACTGCGAGGGGGCATGTGCTGCCGTTGGGGCTGGAGGCGGGGGGGGCGGTGAGGGGGGGGGTCCGTGGTACAGCAGCGAGTGAGTGAAGTAGCCCTGTGGAAAAGTGCACGATGGGGCCCACGGTGATCTCACTGGGGCCTGCAGCTCCCTGCCCAGCCTGGCACAACTGTGCCAGCCCGCGGGGGCACAGAGCCCTGGGCCAGGGCAGCACCAGGCACCCCCTTCTGCACCCACAGCACTGGTGGTCCCAGGGCCCCGGCTGCGCCAGGACAGGGACTGGGGCATCATCATGGCAGGGGATGCAGGGCAGGGACTGGGGCATCGCTGTGGAGGGGATGCAGGGATGCAGGGCTGGGCCCTGGGCTTGGAGCAGCTCCTGGCTCAGGGATGCGCTGGCACTGGTGTGCTGGCAGTGCTTACCGCTCCTGTGAGGAGCTCGAGGCCGGTGAAGGGCCGGGGGCTGGCCAAGGCAGGGGGATACGCAGCCTGCAGGGCCACCACGAAGGTGAGAAGGATGAGGAATGAGAAGATATTGAACATGAGGAGCGTCTTGAGGAAGAGGAAGTAGGAGAGGACACTGGAGCCGAAGCGGCCGCCGATCTGCTTCAGGGCGTAGTGCCAGGGCTGCGCGGCAGGGAGCAGGGAGAGAAGCCTGTACCAGAGGTCCCGGCAGCCCTGGGGAGAGGGAGTCTGGGGAGAGCACCGGGGCCGGAGCCTGTACCGGAGCCCCCGACAGCTGCTGTGCAGACCCATGCCCCAGACTTACGAGAACGATGTAGTCCTTGGACCATCCGCAGGGAGAGGAGGGGGCCCGGTGCTGGGCGTGTTGCCTCAGGGGGCCCCTCTGCCCGCTCAGCTCCTGCCTGCCCAGCAGACAGGGATGTCAGAGCGTGGCGCGGGCCCTGGGATGGCTCCGGCTGTGGGAGCCCTGCCTGCCCAGGGCCGGTGGGAGAGGACTTACCGGAGGGTGCGTTTCTCTGCCAGGCTGAGAGGCACGGTGAGCAGCATGTGGCTGCGCTGGCTGGGTGAGAGGCTCAGCAGCTCCTTCACCAGCAGGCTCTGCTTGTCTGGAGGCACAAGGGGCTCAGCGAGATGCAGCTGGCCAGGACATGGCGTGCTCATCCTGAACCCGGCATGGGGACGGTGCCCAGCACCACCTGCCCCCACTCTCGGGGGACCCTAACCTTCCAGTGTGGCCCTGGCAGGGTCAGTCTCCAGGTCATACTGCCGCAGGCTGGGCCGTGCAGCACGGCAGAGCTGCTGCAGGGGTGGGCGGCTGCTCCGGCGCCGCAGACGGGCTGTGCGGGTGTAGTACTGGGGGATGATGGCCCCCCGGCGGGG